ACGAATATACCGATAACTCGCATATCGATCGTTAAGGGTGCAATCGATAATCTTTAGTGTTGTAAACGAGTGCTAATGATTTTTTACGCATGCCTATCAGCAACAATTATTTAGCCCTTGCACTCCATCCGGTAGTGAATACGGGTGCAATCATGTACTTTCAAGCGCAATAAAATTGATTTGTGGCTTTGGAAGCGGAGCAACTTGCCTCAGACAGAACGCACTGGCTCGACGTTGTCGACAGATGCATGACCCTCATTTGATTATTCATATGAGCTATATGCGTGCTGTATTATTATTAAAGGTAGAAAGGAAAAGGACATAATTATGGAAACGAGTTAAGAGTAACTCTCCACTACTCTTAACTCGTTTCCATATGTCCTTTTCCTTTCTACTTTTATTATTGGCTCAATACCTGTCTTTTCGGTTCATTTATGGGAGAGGTCGGAGATAGCAGTTACCAGAGGGTGATGACAAGATTCTTCACTCTGGAAACAACATGAAATACTCTAGTTCATGTTGAGAAAACCAGTCACATGTCAACAGTGTGATGCGGCAAGTTTCTAACGTAGCAAAGGCATTGTGGAATTTCTTCCTTATCTGGTGTTCGAGGTACACGAGTAGGGCCGACATGAACCGATAAAACCAATATATCGATCGTTAATGATATTGGTTGATCGTTAGGAGTTATTGAATGATCGTTTCAGCCCTAATAATTTATGACGTCATTGGTATGACGTCATTGAGATAAACTGATTTTTCAAAATTTGATATGGGATATAATTATGACACCTTACTGATATCTAAACTGGAAACAGATCCCCCAGAAAGCTAGTTGCAGCAACGAAAAAAGACATAAATTGGCTATTCACCATCTATGGACCACTTGCCATTTGTGCAGATCCAAGAAATCACGTAGACCCGGAAGGGTGTTTAATGTGTGCTATGAATGTGGATTTAACCAATTTTCGCGTCATAATTCAATGACCAGCAATCGCTTTTCCAGCGTCTTCACTTTGGTTAGAACTAATGACTAGCTAGATCTTTGTCAGAAAAAGGTTTTCGTATGAAATGCCTTCAGGCCCAATTTCTTCGTGGAAATAGCAGAAAACACAATAGGGTCCTGCACATTCAACACCCTTCCGGGTCTACGGGATTTCGTGGATCTGTACAAATGGCAAGTGGTCCATTCCATTTTTCATTTTCTTTAAAATAAGTTCAGTTTAAACATGTTTTATGTTGTGGCAATGAGATGGAACAGGGGACAGGCTTCAAATCTAGCATCCTCAACAGTATCGCCCTGACCACTCCTGAAGTGTTTCCGACGGGCCTCACTTAGGCATACCAGGGGGGGTGGGGGAGAGAGACCTTGTTCACATGTGACATTATTTCTGATTCTGTTTTTCTCGTACATATTTCTGTTCTCCTCATGCTCCCATCGCTGGGAAAAATGTTTCAGATGCATGCAGAGACAAGTCAAGTCGGACGCACCTGTTTCGCCACAAAACTTGACCAGGGAAGTGTAATGACTGTTTTTGTGTATGTTTGTGTAGGTGTGGGGGGGGGGTAGGTGGCTGATCTATGTCCAATGAATCTCATAAGCCATGAATTGGTTCAAACGTGTTCAATTCTTCGCTTATTTCCTCGGTTTTCAGGGAATTCCTTTGGGGAGGTGGTGCCCGGGGTTCTGTTGTGTATAAAAATAAATTTCACGGTTCGCGTGAGACTCGGCTAGAAGCCGAGTTTTCCTCATCCGCCGTGGGAACGCCACCACCCTCTAGGATCAAAGGCGCAGATGCAGCGCCTAAACGTTGGGAGGTGAGTAGATCAGACCCACCACCAAATGGTCAAAGACCGAAATCCCATTAGCTACATCCATGTTACCCTCGTGCCAGGCCACGAGTTCCCAATTAACTGTGGGTCGCAGCACGGCTGGAAAAATTCCTTCCGCTTCCAAGCAGGACTTGAACCTGGTACCCTCTGTTTCTCAATCATGGTCTTAGACCATCCCACTATGCCTGCTCTACTCTGTTGTGTATACACGAATGGAAAATTATGTTCTACTAAGGATGAAAGCTAGCGTGGATATCAGTGAGACTGTTAACCCTTTGTGTACCAGCCCCATCTCGAACCGTACCATATGGTACGGTTCGCTGCACTCCAATCAAGCGCGCCGTTCCCCGCCGCCGTAGCTCCGATCGAGCCGCGGTTTTTTGCGCTCGACAGCTGAGATCCCACTGAAAATGTTGATGTATGATATGGGTAGGTTGCCATTTGAAAGTATGGAGAACGAACGCGTTCAAAAGTATGCTTTTCAGCGCAAATAATTGTCGCTGTTTCGATCGTGTTCTCGCTCAGTTTCTCTGCTTGTAGCGAAGATGTAGCTTGTTCTAGGTCATGTCGACGTCTTCTAGACGTGGTGGACGATTGGAGAGATCGGCTGTGGCGATATCATCGCGGAATGCGACTCGAAATTGAAAATTTGTATCGCTGATCCCATCGCAGTATTCGCTCTCAAAAGAGGAGCGAGAGGGAGGGCAGCGATGGCCTAAAATCGTCAAGGCAGGCGTAATTCACCAGCCAGCGACTGCTTCTTGTCTTCTCTTTCACTTACCTTACGCTGGATGTGAGTAGATGAAGAAAAATAAAGATTTCGAATCTGACACAAGAATTCAAAATTTGCAATTTTGAACCAATTGTTTTACCTCAAATGTGTGACAATATGACCATATCCCTGGTATGTTGTTGCTCTTCATGCACTGAGACAACGCTTATGAGGTTGTTTTGTCCCTATGTTCCCAGTACATGAGCACAAGCTAATTCTCAGTCTATTTTTTTGTGATACCCTGGTTGGTCAGAAATATGCACAATTGGCGCGTATCTTTGGTATTCCACCTATGGCTTTCATATACTACTGCATGCTGTACCAATATCCATGCATCCCTGGGTGTAGTGATACATATGGAGTCAGGAAAACACAACTTGCATATACAAAAGTCGTCTAGATCTCATACCATGGTTGCTTCTTTGGCTGCGATAGCCCCTTACATACATTAGATGGCTGGTACATAAAGGGTTAAGATGACCAGTAAAAATGCATTTTCGAAAGGAAAATTTTACAGAGACTTTTTTCAACGTCCAGTATGGAGCGTGTTAAGTACCGTTAGGTACTGAAATAATCGTGAGTAAAAACACACTCTTGTCGTCGGGGTAGTTATCTGCCCGGACGATACGCCCTTCCGGTTGCTCTCACATACCACACACAGAGGACTGATAATAATGGAGGTTGCTCAACGAGAGTCTCAAGAAGAAGGCATCAAGGAAGGAAATGCGTGCAGCATTAATAAAGCGCGCATGCGCTCTGCGGTGCAACCTGCGCAGTCCGCTCACTGTTCGCATACCGCCCGCACGGACACAGCACCATGCAGAATGCATATGCCAAAATGGGGACGGACCTCGAGAGATCACGGACAACATATGGCCGCACCAAAATAAATACATCCTCTCCTGAGGATGGGAGACATGAAAAAACAAAAAAACGAGAAGACAGACAGGAAGACGAAAGAAAATGAAATATGAACAACATAGATAGGCGAAAATACAACAAAGCAGGCACAGACGAGACCGTTGGGCAAGTGACGAGTTGGCGAGGAGGATTGACACCAGCCGGGAACCCCGCGAAACTGTGCATCAATGAAGGAACTTGCAAGCAACAGATTCGGAGAGGGCCCCGGCTGGCAGGCTGCTCCGCCTGTTTATACCCTATCTTTGTAGGGATCTTTCCCAGAACAGCACCAACCTTGGACACCACTCACCCGAAGGAAACGACGAACGAGAGAGCTTGGAAGCTCAGGGCCCTACGCTCTGCTTTTTTGCCTTGATGACCTAGACAAAAAAAAGCATAGGGATGATATAAATTCTTTAAAAAAAATCCTTTTTTTAAGACATAACCTGGGATTCGAACCCGCACTATCGCGCGCCCTGCATGCATCCCCCGATACACTTCGCATACATACTAATTCTTCCAAGTTGTTTCACATTGTGATCTTGCATTTGAAAGCCCTATTTGAATATGCATTGTGGCCAGCCGTCTTTGATGGCACGGTACGGTAGGGGATAGGTACGGGACAGGTACGATCGAGGGTAATACGACACCGTCTAGCTGCCCGCAATATTCAAATAGGGCTTTCAAACGCAAGATAATAACGTGAAGCAGTATGAATGCGAAGTGAATGGGGGAATGCATGTAGGACGATAGTGCGGGTTCGAATCCCAGGATATGCCTAAAAAAATAGGAGAATTGAAAAATTTATAACATCCTATGCTTTTTTGCCGTCAGATACGGATAGCGCCAGGCGTGACACAAACAAACAAATACCAAATTAAAGCTGTGTGGACCCTGGCTAGCGCCAGACGTTACTGAAGTAACGTCTTCTGCATAGCTACGGGAATAAATAATGTTTGGACTCTTCGGTGATGACTGTATTATAATCTATTGCTAGAACTCTGATGTAGTGAACACATGTCTTCGAACAAACAACTACCAAAACTCCATTGAAGCATGAAAATCAAAGGAGAAAAAAGAACCAAGAACGGAGAGCTGGGGACGCACATACCCGGCCCCGTACCGGGCGCAGAGCCAAGGAGGATAACACCGTAGCGTCCCCACGCTCGAATGGCAAAGAAAACAGCAAGCAAAGAAATCTGACGAGTGCGAGCGCAGTTTCAACTTCCTGCATTTTGAATGACAAGCTGCAAGCGCGAAGCGAAACACGTGACCGAAAATAATGCATGATGTCATCAGTGCACACGCTGACATATGCAAAAAGGTCAAAGCGAGTGCTGCAAGAAACAGCACAAATAAATAATAGTTTGGATGGCGAAGAGCTAGAAAGGCAGATTCCTAATTGTTGTACATGTGGTCGCGCTTGTAGCTCTGTGTCGTACATGCGGCTGCGCGGGTGTATCTTTGTCGTACATGTGGCTGCGCTTGTGTCTCTTTTCTCCGTGACTTCAGCCGGGTGTCGGACACGGAAACTGCACACATCGCGAGGTGAGCTATGCTGACATGCTTCATTCTCTCTGTCATCAAGCGATCGTTTTCATTGTGCGATTTGTGCTGGCTTGCATCACAGCCCTAGGCCGTTCAGTGACTTGTCTACTACTTCGAAGTACATGGCATTGTGTAGTTTGGTGTGAACGCTTGTCTGCGGCTTTCCCAAAGGGAGGTCGACTAATGTCGTCGGTGCCGTGTGTTCTGTATGGTCTTCTCAATTGCAGGTTCGATGGCCGGTGGTTTGAGCAACATGTTCTCCGCGTTACACTTCGCAGAGCAGAGCTGATTGCCGAGCCAGAAGTAAGTTTTGGCAAGGTGCTGAGAAGGACCATCAGATGGCGACAAGAAGCGGGGAATCGTCTGCAACGACATCCATCAGCGCTGCTCAGCGTGTGCTCTGGGAATGGCCGTTCTGGGAAGACGCATCAGGTAAGAGGATTCGGTATACGTTTCGTACTTGAGGTTGGTGAGCAATTCTCTGTTGGTTGAGCAGTGAGTTCATCATACAGTTGAGCTCCGTGAAATCCGACCCGGAGTGCAAAGGCGGTGCCCTGGACTGGTTCCGATCACATTGCATTTCATTTGTACTTGCACATATGCAAATTCCAGCCGCATTCGTGCTACTTTCAGGGCGTCAAGGGTGTGCTAGTGGAGGGCGCAAAAATGCACTCTGGATCGGATTTTATCGAGCATAACTACTTCTTTCGGTAAAGGTATCGTTTAGGGTCCCAAATTATTTTAGTGGGCCAGCATGCAGAGCCCCAGGCATGCACATTACACACACGAGACATGCATAGTACAAACAGAGCATGCGCAGTGCAAACAAGGCATGCACCAGACAGTCGAGGTCAACAAGGTCATAATAATTGGGAGCATTCAGAGCTCAACCACAACTTGGTGAGTTTCCATTTAACTCTAGCTGCTGTCGTGTTAACCTCGACTGGCTCGAGTGCATTGACCTTGTTGACCTCGAGTGCATTGCGCATGCCCTGTTTGTACTATGCATGTCTCGTGTGTGTAATGTGCATGCCTGGGGCTCTGTAGAGCATGCTGACCCACTAAAATAATTTGGGACCCTAAACTATACCTTTACCCTTCTTTCCTTGTAGACTCGGGGTGAAGTGAGAGAAAAATAATACTTTCCCGAGAATAGGGATGGCCGTTTTGCGGGTGTGTCTCTCGCTTCCTTACTACATTCGACTACACTTCTAACGAACTCGCATGATATAGGGAATTTCGTGATAAAGCGACGAACCCTTGTCCAATTCACAGTTTGAACCCACAATGTAAGTGCATCTCTGTTCCAGGCGAACCTCACGATTGCGGATACTCAAGGGACTAAGGTCAAATGTCCTCAATTTACAGATGTCCTCAATTCTCAGCAACTTGCACCCAGCATCATACAGTATGTATGTCATTTTGTTCGTTGCAATGGATGCAACCATCATAATACAGTACAGTCAGACCTCGCTTATCCGGTCCTCTGTTATCCGGATCCCTCGTCATTCGGCAGAAAATCGTTGGTTACCGATTTACAGCATATGTCATGCATACATACAGTGTGTGTGTGTGTGTGTGTCCGATTATCCGGTTCCCCAGCCTATCCGGATGTTTTTTTGTGGAAAAGGGATATGTGTTTTTTGTGGAAAAGGGATGTGTGTTTTTTGTGGAAAAGGGATGTGTGCGGTTAAGCGAGGTCTGACTGTACACGTCTCCAGTAGGTGTTTTATGTACATGAGCATGATCCCATCCAGGACTGAGGTTGCCACATACTAGTGTACACTCCTGTAAGATAGTATGACACATGGCACATAGTGCATGAACCCTGGTGCACCAGCCAGTATGTCCGCATTTGCCAGGCTGACATCAGTGCAACACACTTTGTATTTGTATTTTATTATATTTAAGGATTTCCCAAAGGCTTTGGGCCTGTCGAGGGGATCTCCTGCAAGAAGAATGAAATGACAACTTTATGTAGAGGAAGCAGTTAATCGAGGATAGGCTAAGGAAATAGATGGAGGCATACAAAATCTGGTAATTAAGGAGTTGGAATACCGTCAGTGTAATGAATATATCTTACCTAAACACAGTACTATGGGGGCACGCGTGTTAGTTTTCGCATTTCGCAGGTGACCGCATTTTCAAGTGTCAGCGCATACAGTAAAACCTGTGACTAACGACCACCCCATGGTGCCAGAGAAAGCGGTCTTTAGTGGTAGGTGGTCTTTAGTGGTAGGTGGTCCTTAGTTAGGTGTTTTCACTGCACAACCATATAGGTTCAACTCAAAGGTTCAACTCGAGTGACAGAAACTCGCCCAAACATGCTGTAAGTTGTAGCCTGCAGGCACGGTGACCAGGTGACTGGTGTACGCCATGTTCGATTGGGAATAAGGACCGAACGCTACAACGCAGCCTTTTCGGACCAAAACCAGGCGACTCGGCATCAAAAAGACTACAAAATATGGGCCAATCGCGGTCACCCGGGCTTTTATAAGAACGAAATGTGTAAATGAGATAGGCATTGTTCATACCTTGCTCCAGAATGTGCGTTGCCACTTTTTTGTACCACTTACATGACTTGCGAGTGGCCGTATACAAAGAGATCATGCCATCATTCCGATCCACTCCTCCCAGATGCAGATTGTAGTCGTTCACACACGTCAACTTCCGAATGGGACGCTTCTCGCAGTCGGTTACCTGGCCCATGCATATTCAGGAAGTGGACTGACTTAGTGTCTTCCAGCTACACGAACATCATCCCTGCATGGCTTCGATGGGCAAACTCTCCCTTAGCCCAGCTTCAGGTTCACGACACGCCTCGGCAGTCCCTGACGGTTCTTCCAAATCGTGCCGCAGACGACGGTGTTGTTGTTTGTAAGGTAGCGTGCCAGTTCATTACTGCTGTACCAGTTGTCGATGGACAACTGGTATCCCTTACCCAGCAGTGGCTGAATAGTTGGCACATCCATCAAATGGATGACAAGGGCTTGAACCCACACCAGCCTTTCTCCACTGTAAACAAGAAAGAAGCCGCAGAAAGCACAATGTCATAGAGCTCTATTGTTGGGGGAGAGAGCTGTGAGCACTGCACTCTTACCAAGTATCACAATATAAAATAACCAAGAGGCGACGCTTGATGGACCGCCTCAAGTGCTGGAAGAGGGGTATGTATTACCCCTGTCAGCTTAGCCCCACAATGACACGTGAATGCCATTTTAACTTAATGATACGGAAGTGAAGGTGTGAACCGCAAAGCAAGACCTTTCACAGCGTCTTGGTATTTGGACTGCAGAAGCAGTCCGACCTGCCGGTCCTTCCAGTATCGGTTTAGATGGGCCGCATCTGCCAGGTGTGCGGTCACGGCTGGGCCCCCCGCCAGCCTTTCTCCACTGTAAAAACGAAAGAAACAGCAGAAAGCACAGTATCAGTGTCCTGATAGTCGGACTGCAAAAGCAGTCCGACCTGCCGGCCCTTCCAGTAACGGCTCAGGTGAGCCGCATCCGCGAGGTGTGAGGCCACAGCTGAAGCGCCCACCAGCCTTTCTCCACTGTAAACACGAAAGAAACAGCAGAAAGCACAGTGTCATAGAGCTCTATTGTTGGGGGAGAGAGCTGGGAGCACTGCGCACTCACCATTTATCACAATAGATGATCAGAAAGAGGCGGCGCTTGACGCACCGCCTCAGATGCTGAAACAAGGGTATCACCCCTGTAAGGTGAACACCGCAGTGACATGTGAAAGCCATACTGTAATGATACTAAAGTGAAGGTGTGAACCGCAAAGCAAGACCTTTATCTTTCTATCTGAAAGTCATTTTCACAGACTCCATCGGGAAGACGGGCCAGCTCTTGTTGATAGTAGGGGAGTGTCCGCCTGGTGCTATGGAGGTCGCCTTAATCGCGTCAATGAACCTGCTTGGATAGGACGGGGTAGCATCGAGTACTACCTCAACGGTGCTTGTCATAGAGCCGACGGTCCTGCAGTCAATTATTGTGACACCACATGCGGTATTCTACGGTGGTATCACCACGGAAGGCTCCACAGGGAGAATGCGCCAGCTGTGATACGCAGGGAAGGTAACGATCGTGTACGGGAGTGGTACACGTATCTAGGGTTTAGGAAGCACGATAATGCGTCGAAGCACCCGACACATACCCCTTGATGCAATGTACTTCAGTAGTCCAACACATTACGACTGCTATCGCACAGGGCGATCACAAAACACTACACACTGTTACTACACTACACACACAGTTACTACACTACGCCTGTTACAAGTACTTACAAATAATTTTGAAACAAATGGCACATCCTGAAGACGTCAGACCCAGACCTTCACACATCATCATCATCAGGATACTGATACGCTCCACGGTGTCCTGGTAGTCGGAGTACAGAAGCAGTCCGACCTGCCGGCCCTTCCAATATTTGCCCAGGTGGGCCGCATCCATCAAATGGGTGGTAAGGGCCTGAACTCCCACCAGCCCTTCTCCACTGTAAGCACGAAAGAAACCGCAGAAAGCACACTGTCATAGAGCTGTATTGTTGGAGGAGAGAGAGCTGCAAGCACTGTACACTTACCAGGTCTTGCAGTAGACGATCATGAAGAGACGACGCTTGATGCACCGCCTCAAGTGCTGAAAAAGGGGTATCACCCCCGACAGGCTTACTCCAGAATGACATGTAAATACCCTTGCTGATAAATTCTGCAATTGAACAAATTTAAACAGAACATCTTACCCTCGCGTCCATTGTCGCCTGCCGCCCTTGCCTCCACAGCTGGTCTGTGTGCAGCTCTCTGTTATCCATCTCCTCGTCTGAAGCAGGCGCTGCAGTGGCGACATTGCCAACTCCAGCGCCGTCCTCAACGTCAACATCAGGCGCTTGCAAGTCGTCGCCAGGCACGAACCAGTCATCATCGTCTTCATCCTCCAGGTAGGGGTCCTGATCGCTCGCTGCATCAACAAAAATGGATTCGATGGCCTCTTCCTCCGTGAAGCGACGACACGACCCGACAAAAATGTCGATAATTTGGAATGGTCAAAATTTGAATATTGCATTGTACTCAAGGACTCCCTGGGCTGCGTTCACGCGGCCTACGGGCAAAGTTCGACCTGTAGATTACTCACACCCACATGCGGGTGACAGCCATCCACTTTGGCACTCTACATCTAGTCCACGGGTGAAGTATTGGACAGCTCGCGATGTGTTTTCATGACCTATATATACGTCATAATCGGACGGGCGTCATTCTCAATGACGTATTTATACGTCATTGGCGCTAAAAGGGTTAAAGGGGAAGTTCACACTAAAATCAAAATTTCAGAACTTGTAGGGGAAAATCCACTGATTCCAATTGCGAAGGTCCGAGGTTGATCTGAGCAACCGTTTTGGAGTTATAGCATCTGGAAGTGTAGACTAAATTCGATCACATGATGACATTATAATTTATAGGGCTGAAACAAATATACCGATAACTCGCATATCGATCGTTTTAAGGGTGCAATCGATAATCTTTAGTGTTGTAAACGAGTGCTAATGATTTTTTACGCATGCCTATCAGCAACAGTTATTTAGCCCTTGCACTCCATCCGGTAGTGAATACGGGTGCAATCATGTACTTTCAAGCGCAATAAAATTGATTTGTGGCTTTGGAAGCGGAGCAACTTGCCTCAGACAGAACGCACTGGCTCGACGTTGTCGACAGATGCATGACCCTCATTTGATTATTCATATGAGCTATATGCGTGCTGTATTATTATTAAAGGTAGAAAGGAAAAGGACATAATTATGGAAACGAGTTAAGAGTAACTCTCCACTACTCTTAACTCGTTTCCATATGTCCTTTTCCTTTCTACTTTTATTATTGGCTCAATACCTGTCTTTTCGGTTCATTTATGGGAGAGGTCGGAGATAGCAGTTACCAGAGGGTGATGACAAGATTCTTCACTCTGGAAACAACATGAAATACTCTAGTTCATGTTGAGAAAACCAGTCACATGTCAACAGTGTGATGCGGCAAGTTTCTAACGTAGCAAAGGCATTGTGGAATTTCTTCCTTATCTGGTGTTCGAGGTACACGAGTAGGGCCGACATGAACCGATAAAACCAATATATCGATCGTTAATGATATTGGTTGATCGTTAGGAGTTATTGAATGATCGTTTCAGCCCTAATAATTTATGACGTCATTGAGATAAACTGATTTTTCAAAATTTGATATGGGATATAATTATGACACCTTACTGATATCTAAACTGGAAACATATCCCCCAGAAAGCTAGTTGCAGCAAGGAAAAAAGACATAAATTGGCTATTCACCATCTATGGACCTCTTGCCATTTGTACAGATCCAAGAAATCACGTAGACCCGGAAGGGTGTTTAATGTGTGCTATGCATGTGCATTTGACCAATTTTCGCGTCATAATTCAATGACCAGCAATCGCTTTTCCAGCGTCTTCACTTTGGTTAGAACTAATGACTAGCTAGATCTTTGTCAGAAAAAGGTTTTCGTATGAAATGCCTTCAGGCCCAATTTCTTCGTGGAAATAGCAGAAAACACAATAGGGTCCTGCACATTCAACACCCTTCCGGGTCTACGGGATTCTACGGGATTTCCTGGATCTGTACAAATGGCAAGTGGTCCATTCCCATACAAAGTGTACCTCTGTGACGTCACAGGGATGGGCAAATTATGATGTCACAGAATTTTGCCAAAACTTGAAGATCCTGTGACTCTGGAACGGTTGCTCCAATCAACGTGGGACTTTCACCATTGGAATCAGTGCATCGTTCGCTATAGGTTGTGAAGTATTGATTTTAGTGTGAACTTCCCCTTTAGTGTCGGAGACGCGTGTGCAAGAAAGGCGATTTTTAATTGTGAAAAGACTTTTGGCTCTTTAAGAGAGCATGTCTGAGAAAACCAGAACATATGTGCAAGTCGATCTCTCAGATTTCGCTCAAATTTGGCAGGTAGGTTTGCTTTGGGGTGTAGATCGACATTCCAAAGCCCGCACAAAATCTTTTGAAGGGAACCATGAAATTGGCATACCCCTCAATATTGGCCCAATATTGGCACGATTTATGGGTCTACAAACGAGCCACGGCACAGCGTACAAGAACAAGCTACGAACAAAACTCCATCAAGCCATCATTACCTCACCTTAGAAGAGTTCTTGGGGCAGCACCACTTAGCCACGCCAGCATCCCAGAAGACGAGGGAAATCATCCCTTGACGCCACAAATGATCGTCTTGAAAATAGCCAAACTACAAGCGCTGATAAAACAGCGAGCTACGTCCTCAATTAGCAAACACTATACACCGGCAGATAGTAGAACACCTCTTCTAGCACTGAGGACATGTCCCCCATCATCCTTTTGGGGTTTTCTTGAAATAAACAATTTTGAATTTTTCCACTCGACCATTCTGAAATACGTCCAAACTCATACCTGCGCAGGAAAGCTCGCCCCTCCGCGACGTCTAGTCAGCAATTTCTACTCCAACACCACTCCCAACGCTGCAGAACAAAGTGTATTGTTGACTCTGACAAGGAAAAGCAGCGGGGATCACTTGTCACTCCAAACGACAAGCTTCTCCTTGCGCCACCAACATTTTTCGTTGCAACAGTTGATGCAAAAGTGACTGAATATTTGCGTGTAGTTTTTGGATTTTACTGCAAGAGGAATGATGAAATCACGTGCCTCGTGACACAAGAATGCCAAGTCTCGTAGATCACGGTTCAGCAGTTGTTCCGAGTCACCTTGATCAAGCGCTCCTGCACTTACATGGATCACCCGTTGATCTAGATCGGATCAAGTGCATCTTGATGTCCAGCTCAAGAGCACGCATGTCGTGTTGTAGGCCTTCCAGCTGGGACTTTCCCTCAACATGCAGCACAGAGACTATGGCGAGTAGGGTCAAATCACGTTGTTCATGACGTAAGAAATCTGTCATGTGGGCGCACCACATACTTCATGCAACCAGTGTAGGCCGCGCGCTGGTCAACTCCAAGCGACCTTGATGGCATGGACCACGCTCATTCCTTGCTGTTGCAGATCTACGTGGATCATCAGCATGTAAACCAGCCGTAGTTCCTGTTGAACCATGTTCGGGATGAGCGAGGTTAGTGTGAAAAAATGCATCCCTGTTCTTACTGCAAGAGGAAATATCTCCAAGAATTCTTGCCAATGCAATACTGCTAGCGTTATAACGATAGTTTCTGCATGTTCTGAGCAGAGCATGCAAGAAATATAATGCATCTTACCTCCTCCCTCATGGTCCGTTTCGAATAGTACCTCAGGAACGATCGTGATCGTGTGCATTGTGTCGTGTACCAGAAAGCATTATTCTACGTCACGATCCACGTGATTTCTTCATTCCTCTTGCAGTAAAATCCAAAAACTACACGCAAAAATTCAGTCACTTTTGCATCAACTGTTGCACTGAAAAATGTTGGTGGCGCAAGGAGAAGCTTGTCGTTTGGAGTGACAAGTGATCCCCGCTGCTTTTCCTTGTCAGAGTCAACAATACACTTTGTTCTGCAGCGTTGGGAGTGGTGTTGGAGTAGAAATTGCTGACTAGACGTCGCGGAGGGGCGAGCTTTCCTGCGCAGGTATGAGTTTGGACGTATTTCAGAATGGTCGAGTGGAAAAATTCAAAATTGTTTATTTCAAGAAAACCCCAAAAGGATGATGGGGGACATGTCCTCAGTGCTAGAAGAGGTGTTCTACTCTCTGCCGGTGTATAGTGTTTGCTAATTGAGGACGTAGCTCGCTGTTTTATCAGCGCTTGTAATTTGGCTATTTTCAAGCCGGTCATTTGTGGCGTCAAGGGATGATTGCCCTCGTCTTCTGGGATGCTGGCGTGGCTAAGTAGTGCTGCCCCAAGAACTCTTCTAAGGTGATCTAATGATGGCTTGATGGAGTTTTGTTTGTAGCTTGTTGTTGCACGCTGTACCGTGGCTCGTTTGTTGACCCATAAATCGTGCCAATATTGGGCCAATATTGAGGTGTATACCAATTTCATGGTTCCCTTCAAAAGATTTTGTGCGGGCTTTGGAATGTCGATCTACACCCTAAAGCAAACCTACCTGCAAAATTTGAGCGAAATCTGAGAGATCGACTTGCACATATGTTCTGGTTTTCTCAGACATGCTCTCATAAAAAAGTTCAGTTTAAACATGTCTTATGTTGTGGCAATGAGATGGAACAGGGGACAGGCTTCAAATCTAGCATCCTCAACAGTATCGCCCTGACCACTCCTGAAGTGCTTCCGACGGGCCTCACTTAGGCATAACATGGGGGGGGGGGAGAGAGATCTTGTTCACATGTGACATTATTTCTGATTCTGTTTTTCTCATACATATTTCTGTTCTCCTCATGCTCCCATCGCTGGGAAAAATGTTTCAGATGCATGCAGAGACAAGTCAAGTCGGACGCACCTGTTTCGCCACAAAGCTTGACCAGGGAAGTGTTATGACTGTTTTTGTGTATGTTTGTGTGTGGGGGGGGGGGGGGAGATGGGTGGGTGGATGGTGGGGGGGGGGGGTAGGTGGGTGATCTACATGTATGTCCAATGAATCTCATAAGCCATGAATGGGTTCAAACGTGTTCAATTCTTCGCTTATTTCCTCGGTATTCAGGGAATTCCTTTGGGGAGGTGGTGCCCGGGGTTCTGTTGTGTATAAAAATAAATTTCACGGTTCGCGTGAGACTCGGCTAGAAGCCGAGTTTTCCGCTTCCGCCGTGGGAACGCCACCACCCTCTAGGATCAAAGGCGCAGATGCAGCGCCTAAACGGTGGGAGGTGAGTAGATCAGACCCACCACCAAGTGGTCAAAGACCGAAATCCCATTAGCTACATCCATGTTACCCTCGTGCCAGGCCACGAGTTCCCAATTAACTGTGGGTCGCAGCACGGCTGGAAAAATTCCTTCCGCTTCCAAGCAGGACTTGAACCTGGTACCCTCTGTTTCTCAATCATGGTCTTAGACCATCCCACTATGCCTGCTCTGCTCTGTTGTGTATACACGCATGGAAAATAATGTTCTACATAGGGTGAAAGCTAGCGTGCATATCAGTGACACTGTTAAGATGACCAGTAAAATGCATTTTCGAAAGGAAAATTTTACAGAGACTTTTTTCAACGTCCAGTATGGAGCGTGTTAAGTACCGTTAGGTACTGAAATAATCGTGAGTAAAAACACACTCTTGTCGTCGGGGTAGTTATCTGCCCGGACGATACGCCCTTCCGGTTGCTCTCACATACCACACACAGAGGACTGATAATAATGGAGGTTGCTCAACGAGAGTCTCAAGAAGAAGGCATCAAGGAAGGAAATGCGTGCAGCATTAATAAAGCGCGCATGCGCTCTGCGGTGCAACCTGCGCAGTCCGCACACTGTTCGCATCCCGCCCGCACGGACACAGCACCATACAGAATGCATATGCCAAAATGGGGACCGACCTCGAGAGGTCATGGACAACATATGGCCGCACTAAAAAAATGCATCCTCTCCTGAGGATTGGAGATATGAAAAAAGCAAAAAACAAGAAGACAGGAAGACGAAAGAAAATGAAATATGAACAACATAGATAGGCGAAAATACAACAAAGCAGGCACAGACGAGACCGTTGGGCAAGTGACGAGTTGGCGAGGAGGATTGACACCAGCCGGAACCCCGCGAAACTGTGCATCAATGAAGGAACTTGCAAGCAACAGTTTCGGAGAGGACCTCGGCTGGCGGGCTGCTCCGCCTGTTTATACCCTATCTTTGTAGGGATCTTTTCCAGAACAGCACAAACCTAGGACACCACTCACCCGAAGGAAACGACGAATAAATAATGTGTGGACTCTACGGTGATGACTGTATTATAATCTATTGCTAGAACTCTGATGTAGTGAACTAACACACGGAAAACAGCATGCAGACATTGGGAGCACAACTAAGAAATGCAGAGTATGGAACCAGGAAACGCAAAGGCAAACAAAACCACAACTGTCACAAAGCTGAGCAAGAAGATAACCACCATTCTCTGAACTTGACAAACATTCTCAAACAAATCATCGCTGTCCTCAGCAAAACGTGCCCGTGCTCGCGCATGCATACGACTTGCGACGTGCGCACCAAATCAGCGTGTGCGTGTAACGGAATCACAGCCATTCCGTTCCCCGGGACGCAGGACACAGAGGACAAGACTAGTTTGTTTTACATTATATATTGTTGACATGATGGAAATGAAGACTATACTCAAAGAGACGAACAAGAAGACTGGCGAAAGGACTCTCGACTACAAAATTGCGGATGCTCATAACACACATGCATGCAACTAGACGAGACAGTTTGGGGAATGGCATCACACAGGAAAACAACACATCATTTTACAACATCAGCAGCAATACTACACTAACTGTTCGTCGGGAGAAGAAGACAGAAAGGCCACAGCGAAGACATACATCGTCGTTTTTTTAATATAAACATGCGTTGTGCGTGCCCATGCAGCACTACAATGAAAACCACACGTTTACAAACTACACAACTGTGCTACATCATATAATGAGCAGCAAGACTACACTAACTGGTCGTGGGCAGAATCTTGACAGCTTACACCGCTACAGGCGCGGTGGAGCGTGGCAGCAACCGACTAGAATCTTGCTGCTCCGTCGGTAAGTAGATGCCATCTGGAGCTGGGGCGACGGGTGCTGTGGCTGCATGGGGCGTCATTGCTGAACCGATGGTGACGGTGTTCCCAGGTGAGACAGGTTCAGTGCATGTACGGACTCCTCGATCCGTCAGACCTTATCAAGGTTGTCTTTAAAAGTCTGCTGACCACCAAATTGCCGGTCAAACCAACGAAACCGGTTCATTGAACTGAATGAGCAGCACAGAGAGGAGTAAGAGTTCTCCATGGACATGCCAAAGTGATAATTGGCAGAAACCGGAAATGATGCGACGACAATTGCGTACCTTCCCTACCACAAACTGTCACGGCTGGTGCGACAACAGATTGTCACCGTTGGTCCTACCACGGACTGTCACAGCTGGTGCTACCACTGATTGTCACGGCTGGTCCTGCCACGGACTGTCACGGCTGGTGCTACCACTGATTGTCACCGCTGGTCCTACCACGGACTGTCACGGCTTGGGCAAACACATATTGTCACCACTGGTCCTACCACGGACTGCCACGGCTGGGGCAACCACAGATTGTCACCACTGGTCCTACCACGGACTGTCCCCAATGGGGCATCCACAGACTGTCATCACTGGCAGGTAATGCTCATATACATGCGGATTGTGCTATGGCAATGAATTTGCAATGTAATAATCAACACGGAGAATACTGGCGTTCTGCTACGAGAACCATCACTAACGAACTGCTGATGGTCAAACACTGCAATCGCCAGCAAACTCTCTCCGTGCCTGGAAGCTGATCGATGAGCACGGTGCCCATAGCAAAGCGATGGGTACACAAACCAGTCAACCGCTGGTGCTCGAATGAACCTCACTAGTGTTTGAATGAGTACTTCTGGCCAGATCGGTGTTTCAACGAGTATGATAACTCTAAACACCAAAGAGCACACGGCGCCAGCCACCCTGTAAGCAGCAGCCACCCTGTAAGCGCCAACCACCCTGAAGCAGCAGCCATGGGACATGGAGCAACAACAGTACGTGCAGTCTGGCCAATCCGCTGAAGAACGCCGTCGAACACATCGTCAGCACTAACGTCCTGTGCCGCCGCTGCACCCATCCACGCAGCACCCGATGCCTCATTGCTCGCCGTTGGATCATCCTGATACCAAGTCTGTTCCTGGCAAACACCTTCAGGTCTGTAATGGTCTGTGTTGTCCAGTATTCTGTCACTTCTAGTGTTAGTCTTACGATTTTACTCTCCCTGTGCCCAGCCCCGTGCCATCTCCACACACCCTGCTCCCAGCCCCGTGCCATCTCCACACCTCCCTGCTCCCAGCCTCATGGCATCTCCAAACACCCTGCTCCCGGCCCCGTGTCATCTCCACACCTCCCTGCTCCCAGCCCCGTGACATCTCCACATCTCCCTGCTCCCGGCCCCGTGTCATCTCCACACCTGTACAATGGACGCAATGACTACATTTGGAAGACTATAGTATTTATGACAAGACGAGAGTTTGTTACTTCACAACGACGGAAACACAGCTGGACAAGACGAGCTGAAGACGATGAGTGTGTGACAATATGACAATGTGTGTAGTGTGACGATACAATGTGTGTGTAGACAAACATTACGATTATGTATTTGTTGTGGTGACATCTGTCATCAGTGTGTCATGCCTCTTACCTCATTGTAGCTTCATCCGTAGTCCGCTTCCATTGTCCTTGTTCTATATTCTATTCTATTTCTTCTAGTGCTAGTCGTTTCACTTCTCATCTTTCCTTGAAGTAGTATATTTGAATTGTAATTGTTTTCCTGCAACGATCGCTCGTCGATCGTTGTGTTATTTATTTGTGTCTTGACTTCATTATTTATTTCGCCAGCGCCTGCAAGGCTGCATGCGCATGCTAGATTCTGTGTTCACGTGTGAGTAATGATGTCATCGCTATGCCTTTGCTTGCTGCGCGTAGTCTTTTTGTTTTCTTTGCTTCGTTCGAGTTGCTGTTGCTCGACTTCGTTTTCTGATCTATTTTCTGCATTCAATGGTGGCCGTGATGGCTGTCGCTGCAGTAGCAGCTTCAGCCACGACGGGGATCTATCGGTTGCTCTGCCGCCATGTTGGACGCCATGTTTTAGACGTGTCTTTTCCTGGCCAAAGTGCTGGGGATTTTGTGTTCTTGTTGTTCTTTTCTTGTTCTCTCTCCTTTTCCTACTTGCATTTTTCGTGATTCATACATTTCCACCAAGAGGCTGCCGTTTGCGCTGGTGTGTTGTGTTGGGCGAAGAGGGGTGATAGAGAGACTAGATAGCTCCAGTTCTCCCACAAGTGCGTGTCACGCAACAGCAACACGCTCATGCACCGACACCAAGTGCCCATGACGTACACCAAGTACCCATGACGTACACCAAGTACCCATGACGTACACCAAGTACCCATGACGTACACCAAGTACCCATGACGTACACCAAGTACCCATGACGTACACCAAGTACCCATGGCGTACACCAAGTACCCATGACGTACACCAAGTACCCATGACGTACACCAAGTACCCATGACGTACACCAAGTACCCATGACGTACACCAAGTACCCATGACGTACACCAAGTACCCATGACGTACACCAAGTACCCATGACGTACACCAAGTACCCATGACGTACACCAAGTACCCATGACGTACACCAAGTACCCATGACGTACACCAAGTACCCATGACGTACACCAAGTACCCATGACGTACACCAAGTACCCATGACGTACACCAAGTACCCATGACGTACACCAAGTACCCATGACGTACACCAAGTACCCATGACGTACACCAAGTACCCATGACGTACA